ATGTGATCGCATCAGCCAATCAGCAGCCAGCCAGCCAGCACTGTGTAATGGTCGAGGTATATATAGCGGCCATTTTGGAAATCTTCATTTGCCTGCAGTCATTGAACAGAGGCAGACCGCTCTGTACTAGGGACAGGGACAGAGTTAGGGCCACAGAAACGAACGAGAATTGGGGACAGAGAGAAGTTACTTAGGGACAGAGAACCATTACTCAGGGACACAGACTTGTTAATGAGGGCCACAGAATCGTTATTTAGGGACAAAGAAACGCTAGTTAGGGCCACAGAATTCATACTCAGGGACAGACAGAATTGTTACTCAGTGCCAGAGAATTGTTACTTAGGGCCACAGAAACGTTATTAGGGCCACAGAATTTTTACTCAGGGACAGACAGAATTGTTACTGAGTGCCAGAGAATTGTTACTCAGGGACAGACAGAATTGTTACTGAGTGCCAGAGAATTCTTACTCAGGGCCACAGAATTCATTCTCAGGGACAGACAGAATTGTTACTCAGGGACAGACAGAATTGTTACTGAGTGCCAGAGAATTGTTACTCAGGGACAGACAGAATTGTTACTGAGTGCCAGAGAATTGTTACTCAGGGACAGACAGAATTGTTACTGAGTGCCAGAGAATTGTTACTCAGGGACAGACAGAATTGTTACTGAGTGCCAGAGAATTGTTACTCTCAGGGACAGACACAAATTGTTACTTGCACAGACACAGAATTGTTACTTGCACAGACACACAGAATTGTTACTCAGGGCCACAGAATTCATACTCAGGGACAGACAGAACAGACAGAATGTTACTGAGTGCCAGAGAATTCTTACTCAGGGCCACAGAATTGTTACTCAGGGACAGACAGAATTGTTACTCAGGGACAGACAGAATTGTTTACTGAGTGCCAGAGAATTGTTACTCAGGGACAGACAGAATTGTTACTGAGTGCCAGAGAATTGTTACTCACAGACACAAAATTGTTACTTGCACAGACACAGAATTGTTACTCAGCACAGACACACAATTGTTACTCAGGGCCACAGAATTGTTACTCAGGGACAGACAGAATTGTTACTGAGTGCCAGAGAATTGTTACTCAGGGACAGACAGAATTGTTACTGAGTGCCAGAGAAATTGTTACTCAGGGCACAGACAGAATTGTTACTCAGGGAGACAGACAGAATTGTTACTCAGGGACAGACAGAATTGTTACTGAGTGCCAGAGAATTGTTACTCTCAGGGACAGACAGAATTGTTACTGAGTGCCAGAGAATTGTTACTCAGGGACAGACAGAATTGTTACTGAGTGCCAGAGAATTGTTACTCAGGGACAGACAGAATTGTTACTGAGTGCCAGAGAATTGTTACTCTCACAGACACAAAATTGTTACTTGCACAGACACAGAATTGTTACTTGCACAGACACACAATTGTTACTCAGGGCCACAGAATTCATACTCAGGGACAGACAGAATTGTTACTGAGTGCCAGAGAATTCTTACTCAGGGCCACAGAATTCATTGTTACTCAGGGACAGACAGAATTGTTACTCAGGGACAGACAGAATTGTTACTGAGTGCCAGAGAATTGTTACTCAGGGACAGACAGAATTGTTACTGAGTGCCAGAGAATTCTTACTCAGGGACAGACAGAATTGTTACTGAGTGCCAGAGAATTGTTACTCTCACAGACACAAAATTGTTACTTTACTCGACACAGAATTGTTACTCGCACAGAGACAGAATTGTTACTCGCACAGAGACAGAATTGTTACTCAGGGCCACAGAATTCATACTCAGGGACAGACAGAATTGTTACTGAGTGCCAGAGAATTGTTACTCAGGGACAGACAGAATTGTTACTGAGTGCCAGAGAATTGTTACTCACAGACACAAAATTGTTACTTGCACAGACACAGAATTGTTACTTGCACAGACACACAATTGTTACTCAGGGCCACAGAATTCATACTCAGGGACAGACAGAATTGTTACTGAGTGCCAGAAATTCTTACTCAGGGCCAGACAGAATTGTTACTCAGGGTTACCAGACAGAATTGTTACTCAGGGACAGACAGAATTGTTACTGAGTGCCAGAGAATTGTTACTCAGGGACAGACAGAATTGTTACTGAGTGCCAGAGAATTGTTACTCTCACAGACACAAAATTGTTACTTGCACAGACACAGAATTGTTACTTGCACAGACACACAATTGTTACTCAGGGCCACAGAATTGTTACTCAGGGACAGACAGAATACTGTTACTGAGAATTGCCAGAGAAGAATTGTTACTCAGGGTGCAGACAGAATTGTTACTGAGTGCAGAGAATTGTTACTGAGTGCCAGAGAATTGTTACTCTCACACAACACAAAATGTTACTTGCACAGACACAGAATTGTTACTCGCAAGAGACAGAATTGTTACTCTCAGGGCCACAGAATTCATACTCAGGTTACTGAGTGCCACAGACAGAATTGTTACTGAGTGCCAGAGAATTGTTACTCAGGGAAGACAGAATTGTTACTGAGTGCCAGAGAATTGTTACTCAGGGACAGACAGAATTGTTACTGAGTGCCAGAGAATTGTTACTCTCACAGACACAAAATTGTTACTTGCACAGACACAGAATTGTTACTCGCACAGAGACAGAATTGTTACTCAGGGCCACAGAATTCATACTCAGGGACAGACAGAATTGTTACTGAGTGCCAGAGAATTGTTACTCAGGGACAGACAGAATTGTTACTGAGTGCCAGAGAATTGTTACTCTCACAGACACAAAATTGTTACTTGCACAGACACAGAATTGTTACTTGCACAGACACACAATTGTTACTGAGTGCCAGAGAATTGTTACTCAGGGACAGACAGAATTGTTACTGAGTGCCAGAGAATTGTTACTCAGGGACAGACAGAATTGTTACTGAGTGCCAGAGAATTGTTACTCAGGGACAGACAGAATTGTTACTGAGTGCCAGAGAATTGTTACTCGCACAGACACAAAATTGTTACTTGCACAGACACAAAATTGTTACTTGCACAGACACAGAATTGTTACTCGCGCAGACACAGAATTGTTACTCAGGGCCACAGAATTCATACTCAGGGACAGACAGAATTGTTACTGAGTGCCAGAGAATTGTTACTCAGGGACAGACAGAATTGTTACTGAGAGAATTGTTACCAGAGAATTTTACTGAGTGCCAGAGAATTGTTACTCAGGGACAGAAATTGTTACTGAGTGCCAGAGAATTGTTACTCAGGGACAGGGACAGACAGAATTGTTACTGAGTGCCAGAGAATTGTTACTCGCACAGACACAAAATTGTTACTTTGCACAGACACAGAATTGTTACTCGCACAGACACAGAATTGTTACTCGCACAGACACAGAATTGTTACTCAGGGGGCACAGAATTCATACTCAGGGACAGACAGAATTGTTACTGAGTGCCAGAGAATTGTTACTCAGGGACACCTAATCGTTGAATTAAATAGTATGTCAGACAACATGCAGAGGAGTGTGGCAGAGGAGGCAATGTTTTAGGAGCGAGCAGACGTGGCAGCAGAGGAAGGGGTCGAGGCAGCAGTATTCGCAGCCAGAGGCCAGTGCTCCCGGTGTCATCCAGCGGTCGTGTCTCCACCGACAACCCTGCCGTCATTGATTGGTTGGCTCGGTCGTCTTCCTCTTCCCCCAGGTCACCTCTGACACCTACAGCCAACGGTCGGTGGGTACGTCAGACACAACCGTTAGTTGGCATGGCCCGGGACCAAGCCCACTGAAATCACGTGTCCTCTACCTGCCCCTGTCCTTTGCTGTTCCCTCACCAAGCGAAGTATCGCATGCTGTGGGCTCAGCCCCACTGTACAGTGAGGAAGAGCTAACAAGGGCGGTCAGGAACGGGGGGAGACATCGGCCTTTTCAGCAGCCAAGCGAACAAGTACTGGCGAGGAGAGTGGCTCGGTAGCCGGTCTAGAGACAGGTCTGTCTCCTGACCCAGACGCAGCCGAGGGGGCTAGTAGTGAGGCGGAGACCCTACTTGATGATGAGGAGGTTGATCGCACTTGGCACTTGACTCACATAGCTGCTGCCAGGCCCCTAATCTGCCATAGGCCCCTATATACCGCCTCCTCATGCTGCTGCCAAGTCCAGAGTCTGTCATGGTCCCTGTACGGCCTCCCATTGCTGCTGTCTCCATCGCCACACTCTGCTGCCATGTGCCACTTTCAGGTCTCTTCACACTGCTGGTGTGTTAAATTTTTTGACATAGGGTGCAGGCAGATTACGGGCCTCACATAGCTGCTGCCAGGCCCCTAATCTGCCATAGGCCCCTATATACCGCCTCCTCATGCTGCTGCAAGTCCAGAGTCTGTCATGGTCCCTGTACGGCCTCCCATTGCTGCTGTCTCCATCGCCACACTCTGCTGCCATGTGCCACTTTCAGGTCTCTTCACACTGCTGGTGTGTTAAATTTTTTGACATAGGGTGCAGGCAGATTACGGGCCTCACATAGCTGCTGCCAGGCCCCTAATCTGCCATGGGCCCCTATATACCGCCTCCTCATGCTGCTGCCAAGTCCAGAGTCTGTCATGGTCCCTGTACGGCCTCCCATTGCTGCTGTCTCCATCGCCACACTGCTGCCATGTGCCCACTTTCAGGTCTCTTCACACTGCTGGTGTGTTAAATTTTTTGACATAGGGTGCAGGCAGATTACGGGCCTCACATAGCTGCTGCCAGGCCCCTAATCTGCCATGGGCCCCTATATACCGCCTCCTCATGCTGCTGCCAAGTCCAGAGTCTGTCATGGTCCCTGTACGGCCTCCCATTGCTGCTGCTGTCTCCATCGCCACACTCTGCTGCCATGTGCCACTTTCAGGTCTCTTCACACTGCTGGTGTGTTAAATTTTTTGACATAGGGTGCAGGCAGATTACGGGCCTCACATAGCTGCTGCCAGGCCCCTAATCTGCCATGGGCCCCTATATACCGCCTCCTCATGCTGCTGCCAAGTCCATAGTCTGTCATGGTCCCTGTACGGCCTCCCATTGCTGCTGTCTCCATCGCCACACTCTGCTGCCATGTGCCACTTTCAGGTCTCTTCACACTGCTGGTGTGTTTAAATTTTTTGACATAGGGTGCAGGCAGATTACGGGCCTCACATAGCTGCTGCCAGGCCCCTAATCTGCCATGGGCCCCTATATACCGCCTCCTCATGCTGCTGCCAGCCAGTCCAGAGTCTGTCATGGGTCCCTGTACGGCCTCCCATTGCTGCTGTCTCCATCGCCACACTCTGCTGCCATGTGCCACTTTCAGGTCTCTTCACACACTGCTGGTGTGTTTAAATTTGACATAGGGTGCAGGCAGATTACGGGCCTCACATAGCTGCTGCCAGGCCCTAATCTGCCATGGGCCCCTATATACCGCCTCCTCATGCTGCTGCCAAGTCCAGAGTCTGTCATGGGTCCCTGTACGGCCTCCCATTGCTGCTGTCTCATCGCCACACTCTGCTGCCATGTGCCACTTTCAGGTCTCTTCACACACTGCTGGTGTGTTAAATTTTTTGACATAGGGTGCAGGCAGATTACGGGCCTCACATAGCTGCTGCCAGGCCCCTAATCTGCCATGGGCCCCTATATACCGCCTCCTCATGCTGCTGCCAAGTCCAGAGTCTGTCATGGGTCCCTGTACGGCCTCCCATTGCTGCTGTCTCCATCGCCACACTCTGCTGCCATGTGCCACTTTCAGGTCTCTTCACACTGCTGGTGTGTTAAATTTTTTGACATAGGGTGCAGCAAGCAGATTACGGGCCTCACATAGCTGCTGCCAGGCCCTAATCTGCCATGGGCCCCTATACCGCCTCCTCCTGCTGCTGCCAAGTCCAGAGTCTGTCATGGTCCCTGTACGGCCTCCCATTGCTGCTGTCTCCATCGCCACACTCTCTGCTGCCATGTGCCACTTTCAGGTCTCTTCACACTGCTGGTGTGTTAAATTTTTTGACATAGGGTGCAGGCAGATTACGGGCCTCACATAGCTGCTGCCAGGCCCCTAATCTGCCATGGGCCCCTATATACCACCTCCTCCTGCTGCTGCCAGGTCCAGAGTCTCTCATGGGTCCCTGTACGGCCTCCCATTGCTGCTGTCTCCATCGCCACACTCTGCTGCCATGTGCCACTTTCAGGTCTCTTCACACACTGCTGGTGTGTTTAAATTTTTTGACATAGGGTGCATAGGGTGCAGATTACGGGCCTCACATAGCTGCTGCCAGGCCCCTAATCTCTGCCATGGGCCCCTATATATACCGCCTCCTCCTCTGCTGCTGCCAGGTCCAGAGTCTGTCATGGGTCCCTGTACGGCCTCCCATTGCTGCTGTCTCCATCGCCACACCTGCTGCCATGTGCCACTTTCAGGTCTCTTCACACTGCTGGTGTGTGTGTTAAATTTTTTGACATAGGGTGCAGGCAGATTACGGGCCTCACATAGCTGCTGCCAGGCCCCTAATCTGCCATGGGCCCCTATATACCGCCTCCTCATGCTGCTGCCCAAGTCCAGAGTCTGTCATGGGTCCCTGTACGGCCTCCCATTGCTGCTGTCTCCATCGCCACACTCTGCTGCCATGTGCCACTTTCAGGTCTCTTCACACTGCTGGTGTGTTTAAATTTTTTGACATAGGGTGCAGGCAGATTACGGGCCTCACATAGCTGCTGCCAGGCCCCTAATCTGCCATGGGCCCCTATATACCGCCTCCTCATGCTGCTGCCAAGTCCAGAGTCTGTCATGGTCCCTGTACGGCCTCCCATTGCTGCTGTCTCCATCGCCACACTCTGCTGCCATGTGCCACTTTCAGGTCTCTTCACACTGCTGGTGTGTTAAATTTTTTGACACATAGGGTGCAGGCAGATTACGGGCCTCACATAGCTGCTGCCAGGCCCCTAATCTGCCATGGGCCCCTATATACCGCCTCCTCATGCTGCTGCCAAGTCCAGAGTCTGTCATGGTCCCTGTACGGCCTCCCATTGCTGCTGTCTCCATCGCCACACTCTGCTGCCATGTGCCACTTTCAGGTCTCTTCACACTGCTGGTGTGTTAAATTTTTTGACATAGGGTGCAGGCAGATTACGGGCCTCACATAGCTGCTGCCAGGCCCCTAATCTGCCATGGGCCCCTATATACCACCTCCTCCTGCTGCTGCCAGGTCCAGAGTCTCTCATGGGTCCCTGTACGGCCTCCCATTGCTGCTGTCTCCATCGCCACACTCTGCTGCCATGTGCCACTTTCAGGTCTCTTCACACTGCTGGTGTGTTAAATTTTTTGACATAGGGTGCTGCAAGATAACGGGCCTCACATAGCTGCTGCCAGGGCCCCTAATCAGCCATGGGCCCCTATACCGCCTCCTCCTGCTGCTGCTGCCAGGTCCAGAGTCTCTCATGGGTCCCTGTACGGCCTCCCATTGCTGCTGTCTCCATCGCCACACTCTGCTGCCATGTGCCACTTTTTCAGGTCTCTTCACACTGCTGGTGTGTTAAATTTTTTGACATAGGGTGCTGCAAGATAACGGGCCTCACATAGCTGCTGCCAGGCCCCTAATCAGCCATGGGCCCCTATACCGCCTCCTCCTGCTGCTGCCAGAGTGCTGTCATGGTCCAGTAGGCCTCCCATCTCATCGCCATGTGCCATGTGCCACTTTCAGGTTCTCTCTTCACACTGCTGGTGTGTTTAATTTTTTGACATAGGGTGCAGGCAGATTACGGGCCTCACATAGCTGCTGCCAGGCCCCTAATCTGCCATGGGCCCCTATATACCGCCTCCTCATGCTGCTGCCAGGTCCAGAGTCTCTCATGGGTCCCTGTACGGCCTCCCATTGCTGCTTTCTCCATCGCCACACTCTGCCATGTGCCACTTTCGTCTCCTCACACACTGCTGGTGGTGTTGAATTTTTTGACATAGGGTGCTGGCAGATTACGGGCCTCCATAGCTGCTGCCAGGCCCCTAATCTGCCATGGGCCCCTATATACCGCCTCCTCATGCTGCTGCCAAGTCCAGAGTCTGTCATGGGTCCCTGTACGGCCTCCCATTGCTGCTGTCTCCATCGCCACACTCTGCTGCCATGTGCCACTTTCAGGTCTCCTCACACTGCTGGTGTGTAGAATTTTTTTGACATAGGGTGCTGGCAGATTACGGGCCTCCCATAGCTGCTGCCAGGCCCCTAATCTGCCATGGGCCCCTATATACCGCCTCCTCATGCTGCTGCCAAGTCCAGAGTCTGTCATGGGTCCCTGTACGGCCTCCCATTGCTGCTGTCTCCATCGCCACACTCTGCCATGTGCCACTTTCAGGTCTCCTCACACTGCTGGTGTGTTTGAATTTTTTGACATAGGGTGCTGCAGATTACGGGCCTCTCCTATAGCTGCTGCCAGGCCCCTAATCTGCCATGGGCCCCTATATACCGCCTCCTCATGCTGCTGCCAAGTTCAGAGTCTGTCATGGGTCCCTGTACGGCCTCCCATTGCTGCTGTCTCCATCGCCACACACTCTGCCATGTGCCACTTTCAGGTCTCCTCACACTGCTGGTGTGTTGAATTTTTTGACATAGGGTGCTGGCAGATTACGGGCCTCCTATAGCTGCTGCCAGGCCCCTAATCTGCCATAAGCCCCTATATACCGCCTCCTCATGCTGCTGCCAAGTCCAGAGTCTGTCATGGGTCCCTGTACGGCCTCCCATTGCTGCTGTCTCCATCGCCACACTCTGCCATGTGCCACTTTCAGGTCTCCTCACACACTGCTGGTGTGTTGAAATTTTTTGACATAGGGTGCTGGCAGATTACGGGCCTCCTATAGCTGCTGCCAGGCCCCTAATCTGCCGTAGGCCCCTATATACCGCCTCCTCATGCTGCTGCCAGGTCCAGAGTCTCTCATGGGTCCCTGTACGGCCTCCCATTGCTGCTGTCTCCATCGCCACACTCTGCCATGTGCCACTTTCAGGTCTCCTCACACTGCTGGTGTGTTCCATTTTTTGTCATAGGGTGCTGGCAGATTATGGGCCTCCCATAACTGCTGCCAGGCCCCTAATCTGCCATGGGCCCCTATACCGACTCTCTCATGCTGTGACGTTGCAACAAGGTGGAATTCAACCCTACATATGTTAGACCGCCTTTACGAACAGCAAAAGGCCATCACAGATTTCCTGATGTTAAAAGCAGATAAAGGTACTCCCTGTGTAACTTAGATGTCAGCCATTGGCAGCTCATGCGTGACACCTGCGCTTGCTCAGGCCCTTTGAGGAGGCCACGCTATTCGTGAGTCGGCAGGACTATGGGATGAACGACGTCATTCCTCTGTTGCACGTCCTGGAACAAATGCTGTTAACAATGGCTGGTCAGGGTGCGGTAGACGTGGCGCACAGATCTCAACGCCACATGGCCCCTGTGGGGGCAGGACTGGAAGAAGAGAGAGGAGGAGGTAGAGGAGGACATTGGTGCTCAGGAATTATTGAGTGAAATGGGTGGTTTTTCCACTCAGCGGACAGGAGTGGAGGAGCAGGAGCATCTGGTAGAGGAGGAGGAGAGGAGACAGAGGACCTAGAGGACCTAGACGCACCGTGGCAGTATGCTGTGGAGATGGAGGCAGGGAGTCCCTCGCATTCCTTGGCACAATGGCCCATAGCATGCTCGGTTGCTTGCGTAGCGACAGCCGAATAATAACCATCAGACAGAGGGATGACTTTTGGCTGTCCACCTTGTTGGACCCTCGCTACCGTTCAAAAATGGTGGCCTTTTTCACACCTGCTGAGAGGGAGGCCAAAATAATAACGTACTATAAAAACCATGTAGTCAGCTGGTCTCTGGTGCCTGTCTGCGCCAACGTCCATCCTCAGACACTGTGGGCCCTGTGCGCTCGTGTTCCGCTGCCATGGCAGCAGCAGCAGGGGGGGGGTGGGGTGGTAGGGAGCAGTGGCAGCTCCACCAGCAGCGGCTGCTGCCTCAGTCTGCAGTCGATGATGAGTAGCTTTCTTCACCAGCGCAGTGAGGAAACTACTAACCAGCCGCAGCAGCAGCAGCAGCATCAGGTGGACCTGGAGCAGGACCTCAAACAACAGGCTTAGGCCTACTTGGACAGCACCCTGCCAACCGAGGTAGACAATCCCCTTGACTACTGGGCAACGAAACTTGACCTTTTTGCCCCAACTAGCTGAATTTGCCCTTGAAAGGCTGTCATGCCCGGCCAGTAGCGTGGCATCGGAGCGCGTGTTTAGTGCGGCAGGAGGTATTGCAACTCCGCGCGGGGGACACGACTGTCCACCCAAAGTGTGGAGAGAGAGACTCACGTTTGTGAAAATGAATCAGGCGTGGATTAGTCTGGATTTCAAACCACCAGTTCCTGACACAACTGACTAAATCCGCCATGAATCATGCCCCAAACATGTGCCACTTTCAGGTCTCCTCACACTGCTGGTGTGTTCCATTTTTTGTCATAGGGTGCTGGCAGATTACGGGCCTCCCATAGCTGCTGCCAGGCCCCTAATCTGCCATGGGCCCCTATACCGCCTCCTCATGCTGCTGCCAAGTCCAGAGTCTCTCATGGGTCCCTGTACGGCCTCCCATTGCTGCTGCCTCCATCGCCACACTCTGCCATGTGCCACTTTCAGGTCTCCTCACTGCTGGTGTGTTCCATTTTTTGTCATAGGGTGCTGGCAGATTACGGGCCTCCCATAGCTGCTGCCAGGCCCCTAATCTGCCATGGGCCCCTATACCGCCTCCTCATGCTGCTGCCAGGTCCAGAGTCTCTCATGGGTCCCTGTACGGCCTCCCATTGCTGCTGTCTCCATCGCCACACTCTGCTGCATGTGCCACTTTCAGGTCTCCTCACACTGCTGGTGGGTTCCATTTTTTTTTTTGTCATAGGGTGCTGGCAGATTACGGGCCTCCCATAGCTGCTGCCAGGCCCGTAATCTGCCATGGGCCCCCGTACCGACTCCTCCTCATGCTGCTGCCAGGCCCGTAA